TTCTTGACTTTAATCTTAAAAATAATCCAAAAGTAATTGGTCCATTCAAGTTGGTCAGTACAGGTTCAAGCTAAAGTTATTGGTTTGTGTAGAAATATTAAGAATTTAGCCAATGTAACTGTTTTTTGTTTATGTGATTTTTTTTTAAATCATGTAAACATGGCTCAAGAAAATATGTATTATAAAGAATATTCTATTAATATAAATGACTGCACAGCATAATACCTGTCACTCTCTGAAAAGGAATGCAAAGGAGTAATGAACGAAAAATAATTATTAGTACAATAGGATTTCCATGAATAATTTATGAGAGCTAGACAAGGAGGAAACAATAGGTATCACCCATTTTGAGTCCTATAAACTTTTCCATATTTGCAGAAGATATTGCTTGTATGTATTTTTTCATTTCAAAAAGGAAAGTGTTTTGCTTTTATTTCTGACTATATATTATTATTGTAGAAAGCATTCAATATTATAGACTAAAAGTATTTTCTTATATGAAGATCAACCATAAACCTATCATCCAGAAAAAAATTCCATAGTTTTTTGCCTATTCCTCAAGAATTATATTAACATATATTTCACATATTTATAAAAATGAGACCACACTGTACATACAGTTTTATAGCTTCCTTTTTCCCCTTAATATGTAATCACTGCTGTCTTTTAATGTCCATTAATACAGATCTTCATAATTCTTAATGGCTACTGTTAAAATGAATATTTTATTTTACATCTATTCTATAATTTATTTGATCAATCCTCTGTTAATATTTAGGTAGTTTCAAGTTTTTTACTTTGAATATTGTAATACATCTTTTCACATTTGACAAGATTATTCCTTAAGAAATGGAAATGCTAGATCAATGAGTCTGCATAAGACAAAAGTCTTAAAATTAAATGCAAAAAAGTTAAAATATGTGTTATTGCTCAACTGTCCTCCAAAAGAGGTCATAGTCATTTTGCTCTCACAGCTTTTCTACACTGGTTTTTCTTATTTTTTATTTTCAAATTCTGCAAAGTTTCAGAATACATTGTGTTAATATTATCTTAAAAATAATTTACATCCCAATAGGTTGGAAATTACATTTTATTCTTTCTTTTAATTTCCAGAATTTAATTACTAATGAAGTTTATCATGTTTCCATGTGTCTATGGGCTATTATCGTACTTCTGCTCTGAAGTATATATCTTATTATTATTGGCTTGTAAACACTTCTCAAAGATTACAAATATTAATTTTTTATTTGTGATATGTATTTTTTAGTATGTCATTAGTCTTTTTACCTTATATCATTTTCATCATACAAAGTTTTTATGCATTCCAATTAATGTCTTTGATATCACTCTTAGACATTCTTTATAACAAGATTAGTGAGAAAAAATTCTGTATTTTATTCTAATTATATTATCTTTATATTTTCATATTTTTCATTTATATCTCTAACCTACTTAGAGTTTCTTTTTTAAAAGTATACATTAAAGATTTAACCATATTTCTTCCAAATGGTTAGTTACTATCCCCACACCACTTCTGAGCAATCCATATTTTCTCCATGAAATTCTTGGATACATTGTTACCTAGTTCCGGATTTTCACCTCTGTTTCATTGATTTTAGCTGTGTAATTCCAAGGTATTGTTCATTGATCTCTGTGTAATTCCAAGGTATTATTCAGGTTTTTCTGCAATAGTGCTTTGTAACAAACACTTCCTCAAATCTCAGTGGTGTACAACAACAAATATTTCTTTCATGGGTATCTGGGTCAGCTGTCACACTGCAGTGTTCTTTGGGACACAAATGGACCCTGCTCCAAGCTACAGGTCAGATTTGAGTGGTACACATTTTTTCTTTTTTCAGGCTGTAATAACAGCTTCCTGAAACAAATTCTTCTTGTAATGTATGGTAAGAGTACAAAAAGGCTGGTGAAACTTGCCATAGTCTTAAACCTCAACTCCAACACATTCTTTTTTCTATCCACACTGCATTGGTCTGAAGATCACCCAATCTACCCTAAGTGAATGGGAAAGAAGAGTGCATTGTCTCCACAGGGAAGGCTTGTCAAGGACAAGAGAATGAAGAACTGTAAGCAAATAATAATATCTACCACCCTGAGCTAGTTATATTTTCTAAGGCTCAGTTTCCTCAGTGTCAAATGGGATAATTGTGAAGATTCAACTATATAGATGATAAATGTCAAACATATTGTTCCTTGTATTTAGTCATTCAAAAATTGTGTATCTTCTTCCTAACAGTATATCACTTAAATTACTGTCGTTCTGTGATACATATACATATATACAGAGAGAGAGAGAGGAGAGAGAGAGAGAGAGAGAGAGAGAGAGAGAGAGAGAGACGGAGTCTTGAACTATTGCCCAGACTGGAGTGCAATGGTGCAATCTTGGCTCACTGCAGCCTCCGCCTCCTGGGTTCAAGTGTTTCTTCTGCCTCAACCTCCCAAGTAGCTAGGATTACTGGCATCATGCCTGGCTAATTTTTGTATTTCTATAGAGATGGGGTTTCATCATGTTGGCCAGGCTGGTCTTGAACTCCTGACATCAGGTGATCTGCCTGCCTCAGCCTCCCAAAGTGCTGGGATTACAGGCATGAGCCACTGTGCTGGCCAAGATTTTTAAATATGTAGAAGGGCAGGTTAGCTCCTACCCCTATCACTCTTTCTTTTAAAGGATTTTTCTGACTATTCTCTACCATTTTTTCCTCTAGATGAATAAATAGATTTTAGATTCCATCACATATGTTCATCTTTTTAATAAGTGAGGAAAATATCTTCTCAGTCATACTACTTTTAGACTGATGAGCAAGTTGTTCCACAGCCTTACCAAGAGGAGGTTGAGGAATGACTTGGAACCCATAACAATCAACATATTTTCTGTTTATTCAAAAAATTCAAAACTATACTGCACCAATTTGCAAATGATATTGAATAAATTGGAGTGGTTAGTATCCTGGAAAAATAAACTAAAATTTAAATTAGGATAAATAATATTTTTTAAATGAGGCTCAAAAGAAGCAAATGTGAGATGTACTCATAAACAATAACATAGAGAATTGTGCAGGAATGTCTAGGCAAACAGCATAGAAGAAAAGACTTCAGGGTCTATCTAGACTGCATGAACAGTCCTCAAGGCATCTGTTTCATGTGTTTTTGTTTTGTTTTGCCTGAGATAGGGTCTGGCTTTGTTGCCCAGGCTGGAGAGTGATCTCCATGCACTGCAACGTCTGCCTCCCAGATTCAAGCAATTCTCCTGCCTCAGCCTCCTGAGTAGTTGGGATTACAGGTGCGCGCCACCATGTCTGGCTTAGTAGAGATGGGGTTTCTCCTTGTTGGTCAGGCTGGTCTGAAACTCCCAACCTCAGGTGATCCGCCTACCTTGGCCTTCCAAAGTGCTAGGATTACAGGCGTAAGCCACTGTGCCCAGCCTGTTTTTACCTGTTTTATCATAAGAAATATTTTAAATAATGAGTAAGGAAGAGATATGCTGACATATAATGAGAACTTGCCTTCCTAAATAAGTAAATTTTTAAAATGTTACAAATGCTTAAACTTACTTGTTCAGTCTCACTAGATTTCAGCTACAGGTTTTGCTCTCCACTTTAAAAAATCCTGAATACATAAACCAAGTCTTTCATTATTTTTCTCTGAAACATACCTTAGTCTTAACAGAAATCTTCCTTGACAACAGGAAAGTTTTTCATGGTTGAGGCCTGAGGTCATCTCATTTAAGGCCATTTTAAGCTGACTTCTAAAATTAAGATAGTTAAGGAGAAAATATAGACATCACTTATCTCATATGGCCTCTACAGAATCTGATCTGGTCAGCAGAATAACTGCAAATAAAAGCATTACATCCTAAAGTTTACTGTAATTTTCTCTTTTCCCCCTACTCCTCACCTTTTCTTTTTTTTGAGACAGAGTTTCACTCTGTTGCCCAGGCTAGAGTGCAGTGGTGTGATCTTGGCTCGCCGCAACCTCCACCTTTCAGGTTCAAGCAATTCTCCTGTCTCAGCCTCCTGGTAGCTGGGATTCCAGGTGTCACCATGCCCAGCTGATTTTTATATTGTTAGTAGAGATGGGGGTTCACCATGTTGCCCAGGCTGGTCTTGAACTCATGACCTCAAGTGATCCACCCCCTCGGCCTCCCAAAGTGCTGGGATTATAGGTATGAGCCACTATGCCTGGCCAAATTTATTGCTATTTTCTGAATGAAAAGGTATTATACTAATAAGATGGAACAAAATCTAGTGATAGTTACCGCTTTAACTATTCAGATTCAGAAATAGCCACTCATCCTCCCAGGAAGAAAAGTTTTTAACTCAATAAGTAGAAAATAAAGCTGCTTTCATACATTTTTCTATAAATGCTTCAAAGAAAGAAATAAGCAGGTAAAAACCTTAAAGCACAGGAAAATACAGCAAGAAATAATGTGGCTTTTTGTTTGGTTTTAATCATTCATATTATTTTCTTTGTTCTTTAAATCTACTTCTATTTCTAAAGTCAACGGAGAAAGGATACATTGTTGTAGAACAAGCAATAAAAGACATGTTAATGATATAGTAGGTAAAAATGTAAAAAATCTTACTTAGGGCCAGGCTCGGTGGCTCACGCCTGTAATCTCAGCACTTTGGGAGGCCGAGGCGGGTGGATCACGAGGTCAAGAGATCGAGACTATCCTGGCCAACATGGTGAAACCCCGTCTCTACTAAAAATACAGAAAAATTAGCTGGGCGTGGTGGCGCGCGCCTGTAGTCCTACCTACTTGGGAGGCTGAGGCAGGAAAATTGCTTGAACCCGGGAGGTGCAGGTTGCAGTGAGCCGAGGTCGCGCCATTGCACTCCAACATGATGCCTGGTGACGGAGTGAGACTCTGTCTCAGAAAAAAAAAAAAAAAAAATCTTACTTAGGTCTTAACAGTCCTGCAGGACATTAGCTTCTCCTTACATTCTGTTTTATGTTTTTTTCTTTTAGAGATTAGGTCTTCCATACTTACCTGGCAGGGGAGATACCGTGATCACAAAGGTGGTTTTCCCAGGGCGAGGCTTATGCATTGCACTCCGGATGTGCTGACCCCTGCGTTTTCCCCAAATGGAGAAAACCCGACTGCAGAGTTTGTGATAGTGGGGGACTACACTGGAGCTTTCCCCTGATTGAAAAAAAAAAAAAAAAAGAGAGAGAGAGAGAGAGATCAGGTGTTCCTAGGTTGCCTGTACTGGGCTTCAACTTCTGGGCTCAAAAGGTCCGCTTGCCTCAGTCTCCTGAATAGCTGGGACTACAGTTACACACTAGTGCACCCAGCTATCTTCTGTTTTCTTCCCACTTCTCACCACCTCCATTTTTCATCAGCACTGTCATCTTAATTGAACATCAAAAGAATGAATGATGCTATTGGGAGCTACAACTTTTATTTAAATGTACAGTAGTTCTAACTTTTAAATAATTGACGATCTAACAGAAGAGACAAGATAACCCTGAAATGAATTCACTTAAACTAATATGGATTGTTTAGTTATTCTAGATATTTACTTGTAGGTTTGCTTATTATATAGATTTTGTATCCATCTATTACATAAATTATTACATATAAACACATGTACATGAAAGGGAGGAAGTCATCATTGTTCTGTATTAGTCCAGAGATGGTTTCTGCAAGAAAATATTGATGGCTGATAATTCCCTGCTTTTAGAAAGCTTTAAGGTTATAATGGACCAAAAGACCACCTGAACTTTTTACTTCTAGAAACTGCAATATTGTCACAAAAATAATTGGTCTCTATTGGACAACTAAGAATACACATATATAATATCCAACACAGATATACACACTCATTACTACTAGTCTGTTTGCCTTAGGGTGAAAAAATTTTCTTTCTTTCGAACTTTGTTTCAAATGGAATTTGGATGAACTAGAAATAAATTCATATACGAAGAAAAAAGTTTGTTTTCCATTTCTGTATGCAGTTTGATAACTGACTTCTACTTTAGAACTATTTTTTCACACAAATATAAAGAATACACATTGAAAGAAATGTCCACGTTGTCAGCAGTAATGAAATTTAAAATCACTTTACTGGAAACATAACCAGTCCTCATGTAACCTTCACTCAAAAGAGCTAATAGTAGTATAAATGCATCCCATTTACTGAAACTTCCATTTATCTTTCTAATTTGGATGACTTTAGTAATGTTATACTTTCTTAAAATTAATAAAATAAAATTGTTATACTTACCTGTATCTCTATGAAGGAATAAATGCGGCTATACAACTAATGTTATATATTTGTTAGCTATCCTATATTTTTACAGGGCCAAGCTCTAACATATCTGTTCCTAATGATCTGGAACTTCTTGTCCTTGGTAGGGTAAGTTGGAATACCATTTCTGATATTTTTGTACTGAGGATATTTTCTTAGTACTTCAAAATCCAAATAACCTTGAAGATCCCATCTAGCACAACTTTGGATAAAGATATATTACCTACCTGTAACTAAACAACAAAGATAATTTTTTCCTCAACAGCAAAGTGGGAAAAATATTCTGAGTTCCATCTGAAACTTGGTCCATTTCTTCTTAGGGTACACTGGACAATTAAATAAACTATTTTCAATTTTTTTGGTTAAGTGAACTTTTAATAATAAAACAAGCCGCCTAAATGGTTTTCCATTGAGATGAGAAGTTTTATAAAGACCTTGGGTTGTTTTACCCAACACTTTATGCTTTGAATAACTCATGGTTATCTTGAGAACTAGGCTGTAACATGCCTTTCATGGTCTAATTTTAAAGGTTTTGCGGAATCGAGCTGCCATTACCTTCCTGGGAAGACACTTCTCCAGTGTAGCCCCTCTAATTATTTAAGGTAGGTTTCCATTGCTTTAAAATAGCTGAGTTATTCAAGTTTGAAAAACAGCTACTGCACAAGCAGCCTGACTTAAACTGACAAAAGCAAGGAAATTCTGGATCCATAATTCACCTTCCACCCCTTGACCTCACAAACCGCCATATTAGCGTGATCACACCAAAATACCAGCTTGTGTTTACAGTTTCAGTCCTCCTGATGGCGGACGGGCGCGTGTACACGAGCACTCGCTCTGTGTGCACTGAATAGGATCACGATCCGGAGAGCTGAAAATGTAAACACAAGCTGGTATTATGGTGTGACTGGCGGTTTGTGGTTCTTTGTTTGAATACTTTAAAAATGGGCACCCTGGCAAGAACAAAAGAGGCATAAAGCAGAACTGCTTTTAAATGGCCCCTCTCATCTTTGTCCCTCCTCAGGTAGACCCGAAATAACTTATCCACTTGACGGGGTCCCCAGGAACCATGTGTTTTTGCCTAGTTGGCTATGCTTCAATTCAACAGTTTTGTTTTCAAATGCAGGCCGTTAATACTTTGGCTTTGGTAGTTTAAAATTATTTTCTGAGTATTTGCAAGCACTATACCTCTTCAGTTATTATTTGTACCAAAATCTTCCACCTTGCAAATTCATTGCAATGTTTGATAAGTTTGGGCAAGAACCTAAACGCCTTATATGGCCTTTTTAAAAATTTACAAGTTAACAATGGTTCTCTCACCCCAAATGAAGACTAGCACCAACCTAACTCTATTAGACAATGTATCTACCTACCACTCTTGCTTATGCCATTTTAGTCATTGATTTTGAAGTGTAGATGTTGACGTCAAGAGAAATGTAAAGGGTAAAGTGTAAAAGAGTTAAAATTATGGGATTTTAGCGTAGCACTTGGTTGCATAGTTGGTCCATCCGTTTTCTCTGCAGTCTTTGTCATTTCTCCGTCTTTTTTTTTTTTTTGAGATGGAGTTTTTGCTCTCGTCGCTCAGGCTGGAGTGTAATGGCTTGATCTTGGCCCCCTGCAACCTCCGCCTCCCGGGTTCAAGCGATTCTTCTGCCTCCGCCTCCTGAGTAGCGTGTGCCACCACGCCCAGTAATTTTTTGTATTTTTAGTAGAGACAGGGTTTCACCATGTTGGCCAGGCCGGTCTTGAACTCCTGACACAGGTGCTCCACCCACCTTGGCCTCCCAAAGTGCTGGGATTACAGGCATGAGCCATTGTGCCCAGCCCATTTGTTCATCTTAACATTAAGGAAGTTTCATCATTGTTCCCTTCACTGTAAACTCTGATTCTTAGATTGACTTGTAGAGTGAAGAGATGATCATATCATTGCAAGGAGAAAATTCAGACATATAAAGAAAAAAGTTTGAAAAAAACTTATTTCCTCAAAAATGTCAATATAGCACATGATATGCTTGACTTGGTGGTAAAGTACTGTTTTGATTTTTAAAGAACAACATTCTCCCTTTGGAATTAGGTATATCATTGCTATCAAAAAAAGTAACTAAAGGAACAGTGGATAGTTTGGCAGATCCCTTTTGTTAAATAAAAGTTATAAATTGATTTTACACCTATTGAAGCAGCCATTCGCCACTGTAAACTTATTTCTGACAACTGTTTCTTTTAGAATCCGGTAAATAATTGAAAAACAAAAGCGATTTTCTCAATACAATTGAAAAGTAGTTAATGTAAAGACATAAATACAAACAACTCCTGGTTGTAGACAGTTTTGATGTAGTCCCCGGTTCTTAATAAAGGAATAAAGAGGAATCTTAGCTTCGGATGTTTTAATGAAATGCCACTCAAATGGAAGCAAGTGATTTCAGAAGTGTTGTCAGTCACTTTAGACTGAAGAGAAATAATAAGAAATAGCTTTTAAGATATCAAATAATTTACACTAAAATGCTATGCCATAGCACCTCACCTTTGAATACGTCACCAATTTGCTTTGTTTAAAACATACTGTACATGATCACTTCATGAAACTGCACAACTTGATTGAACTTTGTCATCTTGTATCTTGATTATCTCTCTCCATGTGAGATCCCTCAATAAGACAGCTTGCAAGCATTTCACAAATTATAATAAAAGAACCACCTACATGTACATCAATACTGACATATCTGAATTTTGTTATTTTCACCTGGGGTATGTTTAGGCTCAATTGAAAACTAAATTATGGAATGAATAGATTTCCTGGAAGAGTGAGTTTGGCCTTATTTTGCAAACACATTTTCAGAACAACCATACGAAGCTGTTTTGGAGATTCATTACCCATGGTAATATGTTCATATATATAAATAATTAATATATAAAGATTTAACTTTTCACAAATTTTACCCCCAATATAATATAAAACTCCTATCTTTTGTGCCATATTTCATATTCTAGAGAAAAAAATTCTATGCTACAGGAATTCATAACTTTAGCTTTTCATTTTAGTGGTTTTAAAAAGTTTTTATTTCGGCCGGGCGCGGTGGCTCACGCCTGTAATCCCAGCACTTTGGGAGGCCGAGGCGGGTGGATCACGAGGTCAAGAGATCGAGACTATCCTGGTCAACATGGTGAAACCCCGTCTCTACTAAAACTACAAAAAATTAGCTGGGCATGGTGGTGCGTGCCTGTAATCCCAGCTACTCAGGAGGCTGAGGCAGGAGAATTGCCTGAACCCAGGAGGCGGAGGTTGCAGTGAGCCGAGATCGCGCCATTGCACTCCAGCCTGGGTAACATGAGTGAAACTCCGTCTCAAAAAAAAAAAAAAAAAAAAAAGTTTTTATTTCAAATATATGATTACCAATTTACAGATTGCTCAAAACATCTATGAGCTTGCAGACATCCTTATTATTTCTCCAAATGTGCATTGGCCCATCCACTTTTTGATGTCATCATTTTTCTTAGCTACCTAATAGTATTAGCATTTACAGATAAATGAGGCCTTTTAGATTAGAAGGTCTTTGGCAAATTTATCTTGTGAAAACTAGCTAAGAAAGGTAAAGTAGGGGTCACAAATGCTGCAACAATTTCTCAACTCTACATCTAACAATGAAGGTTTTTAAAAAGATGAAAAAGTTCTAGAGATGGACGGTGGTGAGGATTGCGCAGCAATGTGAACAGTTAAAATGGTTTCACATTAAATATATTTTACAACAATAAAAAGTAGAGTTAATATTAATTTGAATGAGAAATTAGGGACTGACTCTAAGAACCTATTTGCCTCACAAAAAGCAACTATACTACAGAAAAGATGCAAAAATAGCTGAGAGATTAAGCCAGAAAACCAAACATTCTTCCCAATTCATTG